ACTGTGCTTTGGGTTTTACGGCGCACAGGTGCGATTACACATGAACTTTTAGGCGCACAACCAAAAATCCAGTCGCATATGCGACCAGTTAGTCGCTAACTTTGAGCCCTGTAATGATAATAATAATAATAATGATCTTTATACAGGTAGCTCACTTGACGAAGAGTGATATTCAGTGAGGCCCTGTAAAACAATGAGTGTCTTTAAATCTGTCAATCAACGAAATCGGCGGATCAGCAATCAATCATAACTCTAGACTTGCCTACAAGTCGAGCTCAAATTTTTTCACGAGCGCGAACCGCGAGCCGTAGATTTTTATGTTTTCTCCCCAGCTAGTTTACTGCGGCAAAAGCCAGCGAGAGAGCGAGAGCTCGACCTTCGCGCTGGGGCCAACTACCGGAACCGGAAATGAGAAGCGAATGACTTTGATAAAGTCTGAAGTCTAAAGTTATATTGAAGGACATTGAGCCCTCTCCCAACTGCAAAATGCTAAAACTTCTAACATTTAATAACTTGTTCCTGCCATTACAACATTCTCGCTAAAACTTGTAGTAGAATGACGACTGCTACCACGTTTTCCCGCCAAAATAGGGACTTTAAGATCCACCGACGCGGACGGTAACGAGAACGTCAAAAAAACAATAGGTTTTATTAGCAAAACAACAACTTTGCACGTGCACCACGTTTTTTTGTACATTTCTCTGCCCGTTTTTGCACGACTACGACGTGAACATGCCTAATTTCGCCTTTTATGGAGGACGTAAACAGGCAACGACGAAATTTTATTTCTCTTACTGTACTTGGACATGGTGCCTAGGGATTCAACTCCAGGAGGGTTCACCCACATTTGACAAAGTAAGTGGGTAGCAATAATTGCGATAAAGACTGAAAGAACGCAAATTCACTTTTTAAGCGACGTTCTCATTGTCGTCGCGTCATTTGATCTTAGCACTACTTAGTATTTAGATGATCTCGGACTCGTAGTCGTTCTCGTCTTAAATGACTAGAATCTACTCCCCGTTCCAGGTGTTCAGACAAGTAGAGGGTGGCGTTTAGATGGCGGGAAGCGAGTTGAATCGCACGAGGAGAAAACGAGAGGAAAAAACGAGGAGGGGAGACTGTCGACTATCTGAACGCCTTGAACAGGCTCAAGACTAAAATACTCAGATAATCAACGACCTATTTCTGATAGGGAGACAAAGAACTGGCTTGTCTACGAAATTGGCCATCTTCAGTACTGAATAAAGAACTCTTCGCAAACCTAGCCACTTTTTCACCCTTTCCCGAAACGGAGAGCTTGTTCACAGGCTATCGCACATCAAGCACATGACTGATAACATAACTTAAAGCATAAGGCTTGATAAAGAATGGAAACAAACAACAAAGTCGCTCCAAGATTAAACATTATTTGTGTGGTGTGTATTGGGCCGGTATATGTACTCAAGAGGTTTAAGGCCTGGATCAAAGGTGTGTTCTGAGCATATGAATGATTGGCAATAACTCACACTAGGAGACCTAGAAGAAAATCTTGAGGTTTTCTTGTGGCTTAACGTTTAACTATGGTGACGCGACACGCGACCAAAAATTCAAAAATTGAAAATGAAGGAAATTGGCGAATTGTGGGCGAAACTGCTTTCTTTTGGATAAACAACTTGGCATTTCTGAAAGGGGACAAACATACCTAACTTTCTACGTTTGGAATGAATGTACGCGAAGTTTAAAATTAAATTTTTAAATAATTCAAGATAAAATTTGGGCATTAAAATGATGTTTTCCCTTATAATTTCTTATTGAAGTGCAACGGACGGTCATTCCAAACGTGAAGTGTTAGAAATATTTAATATGAATTAGAAAAATATTATTGCTTGATTTCTTTTCTTAAACCGGCGACCAACTGGTCAATAATTTACAATTTTTAGCAAAATGGTCACGTGACATATCACAATATTCATACTTTAAAATGCCAAATTTTGACTCAGTGGCATCATCTATGCCTAAGTTATAGCCAATAATTCATTTTCCTCAGGCAAACCCCTTAGTCCCAGGCCTTAAACTACTTGAGTAGTATATGTAGCCGGAGTTTTTTAAAACGGACCTGGCGAAGTTTGCAGAGGACCAAAAGGGAGTTTTCTTTCCATCCCATAAGGCCGAAAATCGCACTAACGAAGAAAAAGGAAAGGACAAATGGAAAGACAGATACAAAGAAAGGAGGAGAAGCGAAAAAATATGGTTGCTCTTTATAATTAGTTTTTATAAAACCTGCTTGAAGCAACGTTTTTAACAATCCAGTTCTAAACACATTGCTAAGCTATTTTTTCAGTTAGTGTTAGGGTACTTTTCTTGAAAACAGCGATTACATCAAAATTCGTAAATAAACTTCCGTAAAAAATTTTGAGTATACTATCAAATCCCTGAACTTCATGTTCATTGAAAACTGTTAAAGTTTTCTAACATTCGTTCAAAATTGAGCAAATGGTGAACCGATTTCATAGGTTTCATTATTTTTTGATCTGGCACTTTTGTCTCAAGCTTAGCACCATGAAATTTCCATTCAGCAAGCGAGAGTTTACCGCACTTGCCAAACACTTGGAAAAGAGAGTTTTGGTGATGCAGTAGCAAGAGATTTTGCTCTCTTACTTTACTTCATTGAATTCGCCACGGTGACCCAACGCGGTGAACAGGGGATGAAACAGGACTAACGTCCCCATTGATATCAACCCCTTTATTACCCCCACAGCTCATGAAAGGTTATACCACACCACCGGGGTCTATGCCCTCTACTCTTTGCGAACAGGTCGAACAGGAGTTTGGGTTCTTTTAAGTTCCACAAGAACCAGAACAGTGAAAGAGCTGTGAGACAAGGCCTACGGTTTTTCGTCTTTATCCGAGAAGACTAGAATGTCTAACCATTTGCAGATGCCTCAACAAAGGCAGCACATTCTCCTCAGTTATTTTAAGACCCTGAGTGCTGGTTCGCCTAGAGTTTGAACCCGCGACCTCCCGCTTATCCAATTGAGCTACCCGGGCGGCGGTTAGGAAGACCATTAAAATTTTAAAAAGGACACGACAAGGCTGTGGTATACACGAAAACATTCGAACAACATGTGAATTAAATGTCCAACGCCTTAATACTTTACGTGAGTTGTGAAGGAACCGTTCAACTTTCTGTGTAAACGTGTTGCACACCCTCCCGTGACCCTTTTACAACAAAGGCACACAAAATAATCTATTCAAGCGATTTCCGTTTCCTCCCGGAAGGGACACTGAGGAAGGAGGTCGAGAAATGCACTTGCTGGTCTGGTCATTGGTCTGCTCTTCACGAAAAACGAGCGGCGAAGAAAGTGAAACATCTACATCCACTTTTAGGGGTGCGTTCCTTTGGGATGAGCTGGTTTTTATGATCCAAAAACAAACTGATCATTAGCATACGAATACAGCCGTTTCTTCTTGCTCCTCCACTAAGGACGTTTCGCCAGGAGGAACGTCTACGACTCAGCGACAGAAATTCCATACTGATGACGTAAAATATGTCCGGAATCTGGACAGGAGCTCTGATTGGTCGACGTCATCAGTATGGAATTTCTGTCGCTGAGTCACATACTTTCCTCCGCGCGAAACGTCCCTGGCTGCGAGGAGCAAGGGGAAACGGTTGTATTCGCAGGCTAACGGATAATGGAGCATCAAAGCAACCACTAAATTCCATCTAGACAACTATTCATCTGTATCCTTGATAAACCATGATCCGAGTGATCTTGGAACATAAATGCTGATACGCATGATCCCAAATTAACGTACCCTTAGTACTGGGTTTGGTGCCATCACCCGACGCAAATTGGAACCTTTATTAAATGACACGATTTTTTAGTTAAGTTCTTCATATACAAATTCGTTTTGTTTAAGCTTAAAGTGTCATGCTCGTTAGAACTACATGGGTATGCCAAATTAAAATTTAGATCGAGAGTTATCCCACTAGGTAAAAAAAATTGTCATGCTAGCAATGTGAATTCTATTCCTTATTAACAGCATGACCCGTAAAATTATCAAATCATCATCTGCTTTGTGTATATTAAAATAATTATATTCTACAACCTACTTATTTACAACAAACATTATTAAAAGGTAGCTGTACTGAAGGATAACCAATGCAATTAGTTGTTGGGAAAGTGGTCACAAACAATCACTGTATACAGACCCTGGATCCAATATTGGCAATGATAAGGGTGAGTGAGCCCACACCACCTCCTGAGCGGTGCTCCTCTTCAATGAGAGACCCCTGGCCCCGCCCATCAGATGTTCCTACCCAGTAAAGGCAGCCGTATCTTACCAAATTTTTAGCTTGAAAAAATGATGGGTAATTATATGCAAACTTGCTATTAAAAATAATTAATAAATCTGGTAGCAGATCAACTCTAATCTCATTATCAAAATAATAAAAATATTGTAGCAAAAACCACCATGTGATGAAAGTGTATGTGATCTCTGTTAAATCATTAGCCTAAACAAGTGAAAAAAAACCTGAAAATTTGGCTTGACAGGCAGTGGAACCATGGCCTCATTGATGACAGGGATAAAACACTCTGTGCAGTTACGCTAATTAACGCAACTGGAGAGGAAGCCAAAGTACTAAGTGAACTTACTACTAAGAAGTTTCATTTAAATGATTTCATCATAGGATTGCATTTGCATGCTCCAAAATATGAATTTTGCACATGAAAGGGCAGTGCAACTTAACAATTTCAAGACCACTACTGATTCATCAATTTTGTCATTGACATGGCTTACACAATGAAACATTTTGTAATCATATATAAGTAATGTCAGTAAATGTAATGTTTATAATCAACTGGTGACTAATATACCAAGTGAATTGAACAAAGATGTGCATACTGAGGAGATAAGATATTTCGATCTCTGAAAAGCTTTCATATTCCATGCTTAAAATTGAGCAGTCAATCTTTTATGGAACAGAAGAATGGGTTGATGGAATGAGAAGTTGCTACTTAACCCAAGGCTTTTTTGAGAGCAAGGGAAGAGTAAATTAGACCCAACATGCCTGCCGCCACCCCAAATAATATGATGAACAGTTCAAAAGCTATGTTATACCATCTTAGAATTTTCCATTTGAGTTTCAGATGGAACATACAGGGAAAAATTAGAGTTACACAAACCCCCAAAACACTACCAAACACACTCATAAGCAGCCCAAAACGAGGCACCGCTAGTGCGATACCCACGGTGGAATAAACGAGGATGACCCTTGTTGACAAAAGCCAGAGGAAATTGAACCATTTCATCTTTAAATACTTCTGGAACTTAGGTAATAGTAGGATATCCACAGTCCCACTAACGACAAACATGTTTACAGGGTAGGAAAAGTACATGTTTATTACTACTAGAACAGATGCTATTTTACTTAATATAGAAGCATTTGATGTACTGAGATTTAAAAGGACAATTGACTGGGTATCATTCCCAAACGTGAGAAAACAAAAGAGGCCCACCAAAAATTTCATGGCTGTTGATATGGAAAACGCCCAGTGGGAAATGATGTTGTATTTTTTGGGGTTCTTCATAGATCCCTCTACAGCTGGAAAAACAGTATGCCCACAGTATGAATATACAATGATACCCATACTTATTGGGAAGGTATTCATATCAAAAGAGAGAATACTGCCCCACTTCCATGTTTTGACATTACTTAAAGAAAAACCCAGCAAAAGGAAGAAAATAATGAGAGCTGCTAGCACTGCCATCATACTTAACCAGGCCAGGGCAGACAGTCTCTTGATGAACACAGCCAGCAGCAAGGCCGATGTACACACTAAACACCATTCCTGAAGAGACAGATCCACTTGGCCACTAGTCAAGTCTTTCAGAGTGTTTCCTAAGACCATAATCCTCAGTACGCAACTGCAGTAAGTCAGACCTATTCTCATAATATTCACAGCGTGGCCTCCAATCGGTCCCCACACGTCCGCTCCAATGTCGGCATAGCTCGCTCTTACTCGTTTGCGAAGTCGGCTCTTCGGGGAGATTTCGTAAAGACAGTCAATCAACAGAACTGAGGTCACGCTGACGAGGAATCCCACAAGAAGGGTGAGTGGTAAGGCGGCAATGCCCCCTAATGCAATGGCGAAGGGCATACCCAGAACACTGTTGCTGGAAATTATTACATTCAAAACATGCCACATAGCAAGTACGGCTGGCGCACGGGCATCGTCTGATAGTTTTTCTACTAAAGTTGTAGTTTTAGATCCTTCGCGGTCTCGAATCGAAAACGAAACCGATCGCTGTTTGAAAGAACCATTCAAAGACTGCGAAATCAAAGCCATGCTGGAATGCAACGAAAGCTGCAGCGAGGCAAAGAACAAAGATCCTTGGCTTGAATTAAAAGTGCTAGTGAAGCTTTTACTGTTGCGTGCGTGAGCACTTGAACTCTTCTCGGTTCCTGCCTCGGCCGAAGAAAGCAAAGGAGTTTCCTCGTTTGGCTCGGGGTTGTATTTGCCATTAACTTCATCCTGCTTTCCTTTGATTTTTACTGTTGTTAGTGGGATGTCTTCGTCGATTGTCGCCAAGTGAGGCTCACCGATTACTATACTACCAGACGGCACGTTAACACTCGCTGGCGAGGTGATCGATAATGTATCCATTTCTGAACCTCCGTCTCTATCCATTGCGCTTTGTGAAAGTGAACAGAAAACAGAGAGAAGGGCAGTTTTCCTTCTTCAGGGAGGTTTTGAACGTGTGCTTCCGCTAAACTCCAACGTATTCCACGTCAAAACCGCGTCAAACTGGTTCCCTCTTGTAATATCATATAAACCGGAAATTATTAATACCGGATGTTCGCTAGGAGCTATGGGATGTTTTCGGAGTTTGCCAGTAACGCCAGTAACGTCTACCCTTCGAAGCCGAGTTGAATCATCATAGCGTCTATCTATGATCACATGTAACATGTCTGCTTTCAACTGTGTATTAAATCGTTGTTAATCTTATACATTCTGCATTGAAGACCTTTCGAAACATCTCTGCGCACTGCAAATAAATTTGCTCATGCTCCGCTGTGACTATAACATGCTATAAAAGGGTCTCCGGTCTTGGCGGGAACAGGCGTGACATGTCTTGTGATTTGTATTTGTCATTTTGCGGTACTTAAAAATTTCCGAGTGATCGATTCACGCTTCGAAAACATAACATACCACATTGATCAAAGAGATCTTTCTGTTTTTTCCCCTGTGAACGTGACCAGACTTTCTCAAATTCAGTAAATTAGTAGTTTCTTATCGTGGCATTAAGGATATTTCTTCTGTAAAGTCTAAGCCCTAAAGGGTGAAGAGCGGCAAACAATGTTTTAAAACGTAATGTTTGATAAAAAAGGAGCACTTTATTTGGTGTCAATGTATTCAGCACGAAGGTACTAATGACCGACTGAGCTAATCCTGCTGCGGTGACATGATAGATTCTTTCAGTTTCAGTTCCCATGCAGGCCTGTAGGAACGAATTTGAAAGTGCCCGAGGGCACGAAAAAAAATTAGCCCTAACAACATATTTTTTAAAATCAAAAGGGGAATTGCCTTGTGTTTTTAACTTAGTATTTTCGACGGTAACTTGGTAGTGCTTGCTAGGTAACTCTTCTAAGCTTTTGCTTCTCTCCCTTACTGCCAAAATAACCTTTCGACAACGGCCAATTTTTTTCAGCGACTGATGAAAAAGTCAAGAATGGTCACGAATTGATGCGTATGGCACGTTTTATATGATCAATCGCGGCAATCGTATTTATAATGTATCTCTATTCATTATATATGATTGGATTACCATGATTATGGGACACAGTAAGCGTGAACTTAGGACAAAAAAACATGTTGTACTCCTTAAAAAAAATTGTCATAGGACACCCCTATTACAGCCACTTCTCCAAAACGGCCGCTTTCTTCTGTCCCCAAGGAGGCCGCTGTGGAGACTGTTGGACTTTGAATAACGCCATTGTGTTTGGTCCGTTTTTTCCCTTCTACTTGAACCAAAAAAAAAAGAAAAGAAATTTAACATTTTTTAGTAGTTTTGAAAACTGTTCTTGTGACTCACACAGATCTATTTAGACCTTCCAATCCCTAAACCATGCAAATCTGGAGTGTTTCAAAAAATACCCCAAAAACCTGGAGAGTGGGACCGCAACCCGGAGATTTCGAAATTATGTGTCAAATAAAACCAAAAAGGCAGATTATTTTTGTCCTGGTATTTTTTGCCCTAGTAGTGGTCTCTGTTTTACTGTCTTGTTGCTCTTTTGGCCGTAATGAGAAGATTCTGTTTTACTCTTCGATAGGACGGCGAGTAGCCAAGTGAATAGGCTTTTCCACAGACCTTAGCGAACCAATGCTTTACGGGAATGAAGTTGGAATTGGACTCAGGTTTCCGCCCAAAATTAGATTGGTACAATATTTGTCCATTATGAAGACGGTTTTTTTTAAAATCACGCTGTTCCTACCAGAATTGCCTGGCAATTTTAAGATTTTCTGATTCACCGTGAGACCGTGAGAAGACTGCCCAAACCTTGAGTCTCACGGTCAAACCATGAGAGTTGGTCTGCACATAGTAGTCTTAAGATCTTATCATTTGCAGTGAACATCAATAATAGATTCAAGTGAAGGTTACAGACTTGCTGTTCATGTGATTTCCACCACGCATACCTCTTTCAAAATGGTAAATAAACACCTATGAATGTTATTAGTGTTATTTAACAGGGTTCTGGCATGGGGAGGGGCCGGGCCGGCCCCACCCCCTCCATTTTTTTGCCTCAGAAAGTCAAAACATGCACGCATAAAAGTTGAAAATAAAAATTCATCTCCCGGAGCACTGAAACAAAACGTTTGTAGTATTCCGAAATAAGTAATTCCTGGTAAAGTACAATTCATATCCATTTCCCCAACCAGGGGCCCAACCCATGCTGCTATTTTCACTCCCAAACGTGATGCACAAAAATACGACAAAACGTGTCAAATGCAGTCTAGACGCGCCTGGACATCCGGACGCCTCATTTTCTTCTTACTGGATTCAGTTTGTCTGGTAATTTTCTCTCATTGTCTGTTCTTTGGTAAATGACATGCACAACCACCGGCGCAGGCTTTTTTTGGGACGTTTTCCAAATACGACCTTCCTACGAAGTCTGTGTTTGCCTCTAAAGCCTGGTTCTCATATGCCGCCGATAAACCAGCGTTGTAGCCGCCCGTGCCGCCTGAGCTACTTCTTGGACGAATGTTAACATGCGTCGCCGGTAACTCAAGCCATCGCAGAGCTTTACCGCCGGCATGCCCGCGAAGTTGAACCTGCGTCAACTTCGCTAGACTGCTTGCAGTCCGCCTTTTCTCTTAAAATCCGTCTAGTTCTTATCTCATCCAGCGCGATTGCAAACCACGACCCTGTTATAACAATAAGGGATTGAGAAGAGATGCCCTCATCTCTCAACCCTCAAAGTTAAAATTTTTGTTCAGTGGCCATTTGGCGATCAGCTGTTTGGGTTTAGTCGCCAGGGGAAATTTTTAGGCGCCAAATTATATTAATAAATTAATATATCAAATTGTCATTAACAAAAGCAGTTAGCAAGTTTAACTTAAAATGCAGCACTGTGTATAAATTACTCGTTTATTGTGCAAGGCATTAGTTACTGATAGTCTGAGAATAACGTTTGCAGATTCATCTCCTTGAATCAATACTGAAACGGAATTACCAGACAATTACCATTTCCAGTTGTCTTTAGGACCTTCAATCCTTCTGTATAATCCCCAGTTGGTATATGAGAGCAGAACTTAACTCATCCTCTGTTAATGTGTTCAAAATTTCCCAGTCGCAACTTGATAGGCGACCTATTTTTTTTTTCTGATATTTGTTTCGCATTTCTTTTGCGACTTTTGTTGATGATGAACTTGTTTCCCCAACTATCAAATATTTTTGGAGATTTAAAAGGTCGTTTTTGAAATCGCTAGACATCGCGAAAGCCTGAAAAAGGCAGGAGAGTATAGGAAGATCAACAAGTTTTGTAAATCAAATCATAGCTTTATAGAGATACGTGAAAATTTCGCAGCGAGTTGTACTGGCAAAAAATGTTTTTCCCAAGCAATTGAAAGGAACCCAAACAAAAATGCCGCTTACGAAATAATAAATTTTCTTTTTCCTTTATCATCGCTACAGGTGTTTAAAAAAACCATTTTTTGCAACCAGTTTTGCGATGTTTAGTTTCGCTTACATTTATCGCTTTTGTTTACAAAACCGCCATTCAACTCGCAGCACGGTTCACATGTTACGGTTATCACATAATGTTCTGTGTTGAATTTGCACCAATTTAGCTTTCCCTTATCATGTTATTAGATTGTTTCAGTATTGATTCAAAAATATTTATAATATGTAGTCCAGTTAAAAAACCACCGAACTTGGCTTGACAAGCATTCCTAAGATATCGAAGAAACCGTCACTGTCGACAAGCAAGGCGCTTCGATTGCGTGCCATTTGTCACGTGTCAAAAGTTAAAATGTCACGTGTAAGGCAACAGACTGAAGGCGATTTGGCGAACGAATGCAAGTCAAGTTTCATCGATGTTCATTTTCAAAACGCTTAGCTCTGAGATTTTTTTAAGTTTTCAATTTAGCATGTTTTTCAACGGAAAAGTAAAAAAGTAACAGAATTCAAATCAGCTAGAATAAGTGTTCTTCATATTTCAGTAGAAGTGATTACCATTTCTGTTTCTATACGCCAACACGAACCTATTCTTCACGGTCGCCAGCTTGGCGACTATTCTCCAAATCAAGTCGCCAGTTCCAAAATTTTAGGCGCCATGGCGAGTAAAATGGTCGCAACTTGGAGGGTTGTCTCTCGCGGCTTAATTCGCCACTCGCGTGCTTGGGTTTCGCATGCAGTAACTTTGCAAAGAAAAATGACATAAGAGACTGCTCGCAGTCTACAACTTCGCAGGCATGCCGGCAGTAAAGACTGGGAGGAGCAACGTTGCCGGCCGCTTTTGTTCTCATATTAGAACAGTATCCCTGGTAGTACCGGCCGCCATGTCCCAGGTGCAACGGCGGCATATGAGAACCAGGCTTAAGGTACCTCAAACAGACTAAAATGTCCACCAAATTACTACGATGTCTCTCCAGCTTGGTGAAACATTTTCTGGTTTTAAGATACAGAGACCAGTCCAATTTAGCAGAGATGAGAAATCCTCTACTTTGTCACTGGAAATGAGTTAGTTGTATCTTAAAATGTTACTCTGTTTTACACCGTTCAGTAAAACTATTCCAAATGAAAACAACCTTCAATTTTAATGACTTAAAATTTAAGACCCATACCACAAATATCCGAACTAACCGGTTAGACCATTCATTCTTAAAACGATGTAAGATTTTTGAGAGCTTTAGCTCGATAGCCCTTATTGTGAAAGTAAGACAACTGGGAACATCAGAAATATATCTGTAGTGTTAATGTGTTCCACAGTAAAAAGCAGTCAGAGGTGAAATTAACAATAAGGCAAGCAACAACAGTAATTAGTTTGTGGTTTTCTCAGCCTAGTCCCTAGGCGTTCTCGGCGCGGTCAATCCTGGACTCTACCGTGACAACAAGATAAAATTATCCTGAAATATTTTAGATACCCATACTTTTCTGCATTTACAACAGAACTGGTCCGACTGGTGGGCCAATTCTGTCTAAGGGTGCCCTAAGCAGGGGCGGATCCAAAAATTTTTGATTAGGGGGTGGGGAGGGAACTTTGGTTCAGAAAGGAACGTGTGTTTTTCAAATCTGTGAACGCCGTTGACATGGGAAATACTGCTTTGCGAGCAGAGGCAAACAGATCATAGGAGGGTACCCAAATACACTTCATTTTTGAATATCCCTGGAATTTAGTTTATTGGCAAAATGCAACGTGTGTTTCATTAAAAAATTAGCCAGTTAAAAAGTGATATACAATCCTGTTGATGTAAGAATTTCAGTCTCAAACAAGTGTCAGGTCTGACAGGGGGGTCTGGAACCCCCGGACTCTCCCCTTAGACCCACACAGGGCTTGAAATTAAAAAAATCCTCAGGTCGCCTTTTTGCGACAAACTGGAGGTACTGTACAATTCCAAAAATAAGCCCCGGGGCTTGTAGTTTTCAAAGGCCTTTTTTAAAGGGGCTTATATTTGGAGGGTCTTATATTCGGAGGGGCTTATCTATGGAGGGTAATTGGCGTTTCAAAATCCATTAGGCTAGCCTTATAGTTGGAAGGAAATTTTCTGTTTTTACTTTGTCTTACCTTGTATTTGAGGGCAATTTCCAAGTACAATCCCCCAGGGGGGCTTATATTTGGAGGGGCGATTTAATGGAGGGTTGTTTGTGTTACGAGTTTGGGGGGCTTATACATGGAGGGACTTATTATTGGAATTTTATGGTATATAGTCATCAGTTGCAAATTTTTAGTGGCCAGTTTGTATAATGTAAATGACACCGTTTATAGTATGGTGCAATCCATCAGATTTGACTGTTTGAAAATATTGCAGACAGAAGACGGTATCAATTTGGAGGTAAACTGGAATTGTTTACGTGATATTATTTTGGCACAATTTTTATGACGGAAGCAAAGCAAGATAAGATGAAATGTTTGTTTTAACTCTTTTAATTTAAATCTAAATCATAGAGAAATCAGGTCGCCAAATTGGCTACTAAACCAGAATTTTTAGTCACCAAGGAAAAAATGTCAGTCGCATTGGTGACCGTATTAGTCGCAATTTCCAACCCTGCGCCACTGTCTTAGTGACTAATTTATTTACTTTCAATAACAATGTTACGCATTTTACCACCCTTGTTCAAACCTGTCTTGCAACAAATGAGGTTGTTGTCAAGTTGCACCTTTTTGTTGTCTGTTTTACCATACCTTTAGTACAACACCAAAAAATGCCCAGTAAAGGTTAAAAAGACATGGACAAGTATAGTTTTACTCTGCTTTTAAGCTAATCCACTGTTACAATTTGTTTTTAATAACTACACAAGTGTGTTTCTGATGTGATGAGTTGATGAATAGGCACATCATATTATCTATTCACAAAAGAAGTGTTTTAAGCATTTTAAACCAATTGCCACAGTTGACTACTCAATGCAGGCTTGATACTATTAAATCAATAGCTAAAATGTACGAAATGATTCCACCAGAGCTTTACCTGAGTATACCAGACCAAGTCCTCCAACAAGAAATCCAAGAACAATAAGAGCAATCTCACCTGTGATGTGATACCATCGCAGAAACCTCCACCGCAGTTTAAGATGTGCAATGCAAGGAAATGCAAATGATAGACACGTTCCTGAAAAACTGCCAACAAATCCCATCAGAAGGCCGAAATGAGGTACAACAAGAGCAATGAAAAGTGCAAAGACTACAAGAAATACTCTTGTCAACAGCAGCCAGTACCAGTGATATTTTGTTCCTTTTGCTAAGTGTGGAAAGTAAGGGCCGATATTTTTGTCGAATGTCTCTTTAACTACAAAGAGTGGAAGAGGAAATGAAAAAAACACATTCATGGCCACCAACACCGTTGCTGCAGTGTTGAAGCCCACATTTTCAGCCATGTTGACTGTGAACACTTGATCCGTGTGAATGCCAAACGTGAGCACGGCAAATAGACCAAACAAAGTTTTCACAATGGCTGAGATGAGGAATGAAACATGCATCATTTTATTATAGTGTTTTGGTTCTTTCATGCTGCCTTCTATGCCAGGAAACACAGCATGAGCACAATAGCTGAATGTTACAATACCGAACCCAACTGGAAATGTGCTGATGTTAAAGGCAGGAATATTGTTCCATGACCACCGGTCATATCGCACAATGCAATATGCTATCATAACCATCAGTGCTGACATGAGGGAAAACACAGCCAGCATGCTCATCCAGGCAATAAGTGATAACCTTGAGATGAAGACACTTGGAAGCACTGCTAGAGAACAAATGATGGCCCATTCATTCAAGTTGAGTGACACATACTTCTCTGTTATTTGAGAGAACATAGTAGAGAGAAGAATGAGATACAGCACTGCCGCAGAGTACAGCTCTACTGTCTGTATGACGCTTACAACCTTGCCTCCTACTCCAGGCCATACAGCGTCTCCGACATCAGGGTACGACTCTCGCACTCTCTTCCTTAACTTGCTACGGGGTGATATTTCATATAAGCAATCAACCAGCAGTATACCAGTGAGGTCACAAAACATGGCCAGAATGAAGATACAAATGACAGCAGCCACGCCTCCCTCCCGCACAGCATATGGAACACCAAGGATACCCATGCCTTGAATGAGGTTCGTGACATTCCAGCCAGCTAGGAAAGCAGAAGCCTGTCTGTCGTGACTCTCCTTCTCCACCAGGGACTTAGTGGCAACTGACACAGTGAAGGAACGGAACCGTTTAAAATTTGTATTCCACGCGGATTTTGGCGATATTGGCTCATCGGTGTCTGCTGTGCGCAGTAAAGGAGATCTTTCGGTCGATTCCAACGACCTTTTTTTGTCCACCACATGCAGAGGATAGCTTACGTCTTGATTTGTTTCATTGTCGCCACTCTTTCCGGACAAAGAGGTCGAAAGAGCAAACTGGATGTGTTCTTCGATGTCGCCTTCGTTCGCCATCATTGGAGTCTATAGTCGCCGGGTGAATGTGTATAAAAGTTCCTTGCTTCTTAAGAAACGCACAAAACCAAAATCACCAGTCGATAATAACCGGTTGGTTAAGAACAAGATTTACCTCGGTAAATAAAAATTGACATCTAGCGAAGGAAAAGTTAGACTTAGAAGCACCTGTGCATTTGTGCATGTGTACACAAACCAGACCAAAGTAGTACAGGATGGTGTCACGTTCTTGTCACGCTATTGTTTACTACGCAAATATCATTGGTTGAACTGTGTTGAAGATACCGCCTTTTACCAAGACGGGTAAGTGATATTTAATCCCGGGGCAACACTGATTTGACCTTCCGTTTTTTTTCTAAAAGTACGGCTGTAGTATAGAAGTGAAACAATAGCAAAAAATAAAATATTTTCTATTCACGGTATCCTGCGGGTGAGTTTACACAGCCGGACCAAACATGAAAATACGTGTGATGGCATTGTCTTAAAGCTCAAACCTGATTGGTACAAATAGTAAACTTTTGTCTTGTGTACGTTTCCGTAAAAGGGGTGGTGATTGAGCAACAAAGATAAACCATGTGTTTTGGTTTTGGGACGTGCAAGAGCACTAATTAGGATTTTTTAAAGCTGTTTGTGGCTCTCTAGCGTCATATTTGGTACTGTAGGTCGTATCTGCCAGCTACGTAGGAAGTTCGCGGCGGACGAGTAGGGTAAAAAATGGATAGAACTGGTGCAGCTTCAGCTCTATCTGCAAGCAATTCGAACTCGGGACAAGATGGGGAAGCGATCACGTTACACAAACCAACTTTGCAGACCCTGGACGAAGATTCGCCTCTTTTGTTTGTTCCTGACGATGAGCATACCTCTGTCAGGAAATCTAGCATTGCAGGGAGCATACGAAAGCTGCGCAGCGCTACGCTGACTGTTTCGATCCTTGAGAAGCCATCCGATGATCGCAATGCTTCAGCTTGGCTCGCTGGCTGGAATGTCACTAACCTCATTCAGGGAACTGGTATCCTTGGGGTGCCATACGCTGTTCTGATGGGAGGATGGGCTGCCGTGGCTATTATCGTCTTAGTGGCTACAATCTGCTGCTACACTGGAAAGCTACTGGTCGATTGTTTGTACGTTGAGTCCAAACGCACTGGACAGCGTAAACGAGCCTACGTCAATTATCCCGAAGTAGGAGAAGCTGCTTGGCCGGGATGGGGCAACAGAATCGTAAGCGTTGTACAGGTATGCGAGATGTATGGCGGTGTGATTATGTACATTGTGCTACTCGCCACGGTGTTTAACGACATTTTGAATCAGTTGACGCCTTTGGACATCTACCAGTGGGCCGTTGTCTGCGCGTATGTTGCGTTACCTGGGATTTTCATTACCCGGGTATCAGTCATCGCCTGGATCAGCATGATCTCGGTGTTTGCACTCCTCAGCAGTATTGCCACAATAATAATTTACTGCATCACTGAATACCGTGACATGACCCTCTCAAACATCCCCCATTTGACATTCAGAAGTTTCCTATTGGATTTGGAATCATTGTGTTCAGCTACTGTGCTCACGCAGTGTTTCCTGGCGTGGAAGGCAGCATGAGGGAACCAAAACAATTCCCAATGATGATGAATTCTGCCTTTGCTCTTGCTGCAGTGGTCAAGGTTCTACTTGGTTTGTTGGCTGTTCTGCGATTCGGCGCCGATACTGAACAAGTCATTACTGTCAACATGAGCATCAGCCCCATCTTCAACATCGTTGCCACAGTCCTGGTCGTCACAAATGTCTTCCTGGCCTTCCCTATTTGCATGTTTGTTGTATTAGAAACATGGGACACCAAAGTGCTACCTTTTTTCCCACATCTTAGCAAGGAAAGTAGCTACCATTGGTTCTGGATCCTGATCACACGGGTCATGCTTCTAACTTTTGCCTTGTTCCTTGCTGTTATTGTTCCACACTTTGCCCTGTTGATGGGGCTTGTTGGCAGCTTCACTGGTACATGCCTTTCCTTTGTGTTTCCCTGCGTTTTTCATCTGACCTTGAAGTGGAGGAAAACTCCTTGGTACAGCATTGTGGTCAAGATTGGGGTGATTGTATTTGGCTTAGTATGTGGTGCATCTGGTTTGTTTTTCTCAGGAAGAGAGCTTGGAAGAGCATTCTCTTTCCAGAACTAACATTACAGGACACTTCTTGGAATCTGATAGTGATGACCTTATTTCAATATGGACAATTTTTGTAATGGAACTGCTTTTGTAAGAAAATTACACTGTACATGATTGCGAGCATGTTTTGTATTAGTATGAGAAGAAGTGGTGAAAAAGATTTGCAAAAAAGAATTGCTGTAATAGAGTTTCAGTGCATCACATTTTATGCATTGCATTTTATACTGCAATTTATTCAATGGAGTTTGTATTTTGTAATATACATCACACAGTTGTTGCTTATAATTATATATATCAAGGACCATTTTTCATTCACCTCACCTCACCTATCCTCTTTGTGCCTCATGGCACATAAGGCCTTCACAGAGTCCCTCCACTTACAGGGACCTGGTGGCACCATAAAATCAAATACTATGATTTTATTCCTTTTTTCGATTTTCAATATGAAAAAATTATTTTCAATTGTCAGCCCTCCCACTTTTCACCTTGCTCCGCGGCCCCTGACTTATCTCGGTTAACTGCAGCGGTCTTCGCTTCCTCCCACGATTGCCATCCTGCTTCTGCCCTTTCCTTTTCAACTGTTCGCGTCCAGGTGGTTTTTGGTCTTCCTCTTCTTCAATTTTCTTCTGGTGCCCAAGTTATTGCTATGTTGCAGTTGTTGTTTTGGTCCTGTCTCAGTATATGTTCAATCATCCTCCATCTACACTGCGTCACCTCTTTACTCATAGGTTTCATGTCTGCTCTGTGTAGCTGCTCTTCAGTACTGACATTTTTCATTGGGGCAGATGTCGGGACTGGTGGCGTTTTATAGGTGGTTCCTTTAATATATGAATTAGGAATTTTTTTACCAGGCCCCTTTTGTAGTTGTAATTAGTAATGGTAACAGGACTGAGTGGAGTCCAATTCGATCTGTAATCATACGAGTGATTAACAAAATTACGCGGGAGTCCGATTTGTTTAATCATGAGTATGATTACAGACCGAATTGGACGACACGAAGTTCTGTTACCAATTAATCATAACTTTCACAAAATTTGTGCTATAATAGGTTATTTTTTACATCAAAACACAAGAAATTTGAAATTTTGTTTTGCTAGCAGTGAAAAAAAACCGATTTAAGTGCGTGCGTGATGGCGCGTACTGTCCTATTAAACTGTCCAATTAAGGCTGAAATCAGGGCAGTTGATAGCCAATCAGATTTGACAATTTTGTTATAGTTATGATTACAGTGTATATGGGATGTCTCGACCTTGTCTTTGGAAATGATGAAAAACTAAAACTTATGAAGCTATATCTGATAAAATTGCAACAAACATTTAAGTTTAGACTAAGACCTGTTGGGGAATGATATATCTTTAAACAATGGTCCCTCATGATTTGATCTGAAAAGAGACGATTATGACTCAAGCATTAGATATAATAGTAAAAATGTTTACTTGCGCTGGTATTTTTTTCTGTTTGCTCTCAATGACTGTTAGGTGTTAAAAATTTTAAGATTAAATAGGACAAATAGTCAACGAAGGTTAACCCTTTAAGTCCCGATAGTGACCGAGATCAATTTTCTCCTAACAATATCCATATGTTAATACCCAGAGAAATAGTTATGAGAGTTAATAAAATGATCACCTAAGAGAAAATGCTTTGATCTTCTACCAAATTCTCCTAACTTATTCTTTAAGGAAATGTAGAGACCAGTTTGGAGAATTTGTATGTGAATATTGGGGCTTAAAGGGTTAACAGCTAAGTGCCCAAGGTCATTCTAAAGTGAGTTGACATTTCTAAAGTCCTACTATCAACATGCAGATTCTCTCCACTGTCTCAGTATGTTGCTAGATAACGTTGTGTGTGGTCAGTGTAGATTAGCCTGTTCACAGACCGTCTATATTCTCTTAAAAGTCCCTGGAGCGCGGGTGATAAAATATAGACCGCAGGGGATTTATTGACTGCCAGCGCAAGGGGGTAGTGGAGGGGGGAAAATGAAACAACGTCCGTGTACAGACTAAGTGCAGATCAAAGGTCACACCTCCCCAGGGGCCCAGAGGCAGTTAGTCAATTTGAGGAAAAAAGCGCAAACCAACTGACTGCTTCTGGGTCTCAAAAGTTAGAGGACGGAGATCACATGGAGTAGAAGAGTTATGTTTTATCTTTATTCTAGTTTAGTCCACATAACATGGCTGTACAGCTGGGTGAATGTCACCGGTGGTAGTTTCATGCAATTTTGTAGCCTGAATAGCCAACATTTCCGAGTGGTTTTGGAGCAAAGAAAGACAGAGGAATGATGGGGAGTGGGATTTTCTGTTTTGGCCACTTGAAAAATGGAAGGAGTGCCATTTTTTGCGAGGGGGAGAGGAATAGGGAGGGGTTGACTCTCATTCCTTGTTCTTTGCTCTGAAACCACATGGAAACGCTTGCTACGCAGGCTAGGAATTATGCTCAGTTTTGTTGAATGGTGCCAACACTGCTTGTCTGGGTAGGCATGATTGTTGCCCAAAGGTGACATGGTTGGAAGCTTTTGGAATAATTAGGTCATAAAATTTTAGGTGCCGAGCTAATTGTATTTTATTAAAAAAAAAAAACATGATTATCTTGAGCCCATGGTTGATTTTGTTCAGTGGTCAATGCTTTTCAAATTGAAGTGGTTAGTACTGATTCTCTAAGCGATAATTATAGGGTGCGATCATGGTGAAATGAATGAGTGATCACAGATGCAGAATTTTTTGGTAATCGATCACAACAAAAAGCACCATGTGAAAACCTTCCCTCCCCTTTGGGACCCTTTTGGAGAGCATGTTTTTGTGAAGAGCCCTTCAATTATATTGCTTCATGCGAACTAACCATAAAGGGGTGGGGGTCCTCCAGACACTTAGATAAGAGGGGGGCTTGTCTCCCCAAAAAATTTAGTTCTTGGCCCTTCCAGCCACAGTTTGACTCAAAAATTAGGGCCCGGGCCCGGGCCCCTCCCCTGAATCCACCACTGTCTAGTCCCTGTGAAAGGTCACATTCATTAATGAAAAGAAAAAGCCCAAAGAAATTGAGCATTTTAAGAAGAAGCTTGCATTCAGTTAGTGATCCTTTCCTCCTTGTTTTCCATATTTATTAGATTTTTACAACTTGATAACATGAGCGTGACATTCAGTGCAGTGTTGCGTTACGACGACAACGGAAAGCCCGGGGGAAAGATATAGTCAACAACCAGGGGAGTCCAATCTTCCTTCAGTGGACAACCTCGGCAGAAATGAAGCTGGCCGTTTACGGCAAAGGTTTTTGTCAGCGTGGAGTTAAAACGGGATTTTGCTTCGGCGGCCGCCCGGGAGCGGCCGAGAGTTTGACTTTTGAGAAAGGTAAACAGGGCACTTGAACGACGAATGTGTAAATAATATAAGAAGTTTTCTGATTGGTTTATTTCCTTCGTATCCATTGTCTCATGGGACAACAAAAACGTGCAAAACGACAAAACCAGTTATGTTGTACTTTGCGTACAAATAAACATTTGCATTTGAATATCCGAATCTCGGAGTGCATATTGACATTTGACCACAATTTCAAAGTTCTGTTTGTTAAAAAACGCACGTGGCAAAACACAAAAAACACTATGGCCGAAAACAAAGCTTTGCTCAGTACGCCAAAGAAGCCCAAGACCGTAAGCCCTGGAAGCGGCGAAGATATTCCATTAGGATCGAGGCCAGAGTCGAATCCAACTGTTGTTCATTTGGGAGAGAATGCGCCACTGATTCATGGCGAGTCCGAGGCAGCAAAAAGCCTTCTTGGGATCAGTCTCTCAAGATTGAATTTATCCCGGAGTTTGATGAAATTACGTTCTGCCACAATGACTGTGTCACTGATCGAGAGGCCCTCAGATGATAGGCGAGCCAATGCGTTTCTCGCGGGATGGAACGTCACTAATCTGATCCAAGGAACCGGGATATTGGGAATTCCGTACGCTGTAAAGCTTGGAGGGTGGGCTGCAGTCGTTTCTATCTTTGTGTGCGGCATTCTCTGTTGTTACACGGGAAAGCTATTGGTCGATTGCCTCTACGACGAGTCCAAGCGCACCGGCCTACGGAAAAGGGTCAGGGTCAATTACCCGGATGTTGGGGAAGCCGTGTGGCCAAGATGGGGCAACAGGATTGTGAGTGCGGTACAAGTGTGTGAGATGTCTGGGATAGCTGTCACTTACATTGTGTTACTGGCATCTATCTTCCTGGACTTCTTCCACAGTATGACTTCCATGGATGTCTACAAGTGGACTGTAGTGGTGGCATGTTTTGTCCTTCCTGGAATTTTCATCACGCGTGTATCAATCATTGCCTGGATCAGCATGATCTCAGTTTTCTCACTTTTCTCCGCAGTGCTCACAATCATAATATACTGCATCACCCAGTATGATAAGATGAGGCTTGACAATATGCCTGGTTTTCAGTTGAACTCTTTTCTGATTGGCTTCGGCATCATTGTGTTTAGTTTTACTGCACATGCTGTTTTTCCAGGAGTCGAAGGAAGCATGCGTCATCCGGAACAGTACCCCATGATGCTGAACGTTGCATTTGCAAATTCCACCATAACCAAGATTATCCTGGGGATGATGGGGACATTTCGATATGGAAGTGAACTAAACCAGGCCATTACCATCAATCTCAAAAGCAGTCAAGTATTTTATATCTTATCAAACACCTTTGTTGTTGCCAATGTTGTCCTTGCTTTCCCATTGGTCATGTTTGTTGTCTTGGAAACATGGGATGACAAAATGCTCCCCTACTTTCCACACGTGGGAAAAGAATCAAGTTTTCATTGGTTCTGGCTGCTTCTGACACGCCCACTCCTCTTTACCTTTGGCGTATTTTTGGCTATCTCTGTTCCTCATTTTGGCCTGGTCATGGGACTACTTGGAAGTCTGACTGGTACCAGTTTGTGTTTCATATTTCCATGCCTTTTCCATCTGAAATTGAAGTGGAAGAAACTGGCGTGGTATCAGGTGGTGTGCAGGGTTCTTATTGCCATCTTTGGATTTGGCTGTGGAATCCTTGGAGCAGCATTTACTGGCATTGAACTGGTTAATGTAAGTAAATAGGATATTGATAGTTAATGAGAGCTTTGCCTTGAAGTATGTCAACAGTCAGTAACTAACAATAAAAAAACTGTCAGTCCTTTTTAAAAACAGAATGGCTGATTGTTATATAGTATAGATTACTACTACTGTCTACCCTGCAAGAAAGTAGAGGCTACATTTTGGTTTTGGTGACTGGATGCAAAAAGTAGCCTTTGCCAACACCAATCATTCCCATCTAAAATATAGCTAATCTATTTTGTGGCCGGAACACGAAAGATTATTTTTCCTCGAGGGTAGTTGACTATCAGTCGTCACTATTTGTGCAAGGATTGTCTCCAAACGAAAAAGACAAATGCTTGCTCTTAGAAAGTGCAAAAACAGTGGCAACACTATCAACCTCAATATGAAAGATTACGTGAGAGGATAATCTCTATCTTTTTGTTATTATATTTAACATCTTTTATATAATGTTATGTAAACTGTGTAAGTGTGTTCTGGTGTACAGGTCACTACTCCCTGTTGACAACTGGCTTGAGATCTGTTTGAAAATTATGTCATTTATAGAAACACAGCACAGTTTTAGTTTGATCTGCTATAATGTTATTGTGCTCAAGCATTCTGTAAGATGCATGTGCTTGTGTAGTTTTCAGTAAATTGTTGACATTCACTGAATGAAATAGAATGAAAAACCCTTGGTTCATTTCTTGCAGAAAAACCCCAATCTTCAGCATGATAAATAATCATAATTTTTATTATCACAAATATTTATTATCACAACAATTATTACTGTTATTAGCATTAAAAATATTATCGCAACAATGTTGTTAATGTGTTCATATCAGAAAAAATGATGCTTACTGGACTGAGCACTTGTAAGACAAAACGTGCTCCTTTTCCTCTTGATTCACATGATGGAGCTTTTGCATGTGCAACACAAAATGGGACCATTGTAGGCTAGGTAGAGGTTGCTTTTTACATGCCAATGAAAATTGCAAAAATTTTACCTCTGCTCAGTGGGTATCGTAAGTCATACTCAGTTGGACTCATCCAGATTGCATACTTTGGTAATACATTAAAAAAAACAGCTCTCTGATTTTGTTCTGCTTTCCATTATCTGCACGCCTGGAGCAGGCTAGGTTTGGAAGTACTGTCCAACCTCCTAAACAGGGACACCAATGGGGCATAGCCATGTTCCTGCATAACAGTGGTGTTGTATTACAGCGGTAGGGATAGTATAAGTTTGGCATCATTTGAATTAAGAGAAATGACCACATATAGAGGTGTCCATATTTTGAGGAAAGAAGTTCATAAGTTTAGCATTGCTGTGACCAAAAGAATTGTCCACAATAGAGCGGTGTCCATATTATGGAGAAAGGAATTCTATAGGCTTGGCATCCTTGGGACAAGGAGTAATGCCCACAATGGAGAAGTGTCTCCATTTTAAGTGGAAGGAATTGAGAAGAAGAGAAGGGTGAAGTCACAAAAATGCAAATTTGTGAAATTATGGGATTGGCTGGCATATTCGGAAAGAGTATAGACTGCGAGCAGTCTGTCTTTTTCTTCAGATTTAGTAAGGGGAGTGCACGCGCGCGCGAGCGAGCGTTGAGCGGCGAAGCCGCGAGACGCGAGAAACGATGGCGCGTGCGTCTCCCGTCTCGAGCCTTCAGTCACGCGCGTGGTCATTTGCGTGTTTGGGGCGTTTTGCTCGACGGACCAAGAAAAAAGAGAGACTGCTCGTAGTCTAGAAAGAGTAAGACGCAATAAGCCCCCTTGCCAAAAATTAACCTGTTGAAGTATTTTGGTAGGGAGATAAAAGCACCGTTATGCTCTGATCACTCCATAATTGGCCTGGATCGTAATGCTTTTGATCCAGCCCAATTTTTAAAGGGTTTACATGGAGATATCGGAGCATTAAGGTGCTTTTATCTCCCTACCAAAATACTCTAACAAGTTGATTTTTGGCTTCTTTCATCTTACTCTTTCCGAATATGCCAACCAATCCCATAATTTAACAAATTTAGTTTTTGTGACATCATCACTTCTATTCTCTGTTGTATAAGTTTGGCATCGTTGGAACCAAATGGAGAACTATCTACAGTAGAGGGGTGCCCTTCTGTGTAAGTGTCGGTACGTAAGGAGAGGTAGATACGGAGCTTACTTAGTGAGTGTTCTATGCTTGTTGGTGGAGAATGTATGTACATAAATAAGGAAATAAATTAAGATGCATTGTGTATAACTTTAACAATTTGTTTGGATGCACAGCTATAAGTACTGTAGATAAATAAATGTTTTCAACCCACCAGTAGTTTGATTCTTGCTCCGGGTTATGGACTTCCTGTGTAAGTGCGATGGATGACGTTTCGACAAACCTTAAACGATGCTTGAACACTTTATTCTATGTGTGCAATAATAGTAAGAACACGGGAACACAATATTCGAAACAGAAAAGTCAGAAAAAACACTTTAACAGCATTTCCCTTCAGGGTCACTTCCTGTAAAGGCCTAATCTCTTACCCACATCCAGAGATTCAAACCCTGGCAACTATAAAAAGGGTCCACTAGGGGGGTCCAGGGGCATGCTCCACCGGGAAACAGTTTAAGATATGTGTGTGCCTCTAAGGTGCCATTTCTTGCATTTTGAGATCACAGTCATTGACTCAATGGAAAATAGTGGAGTTTTTAACAGGCAGTGGAAGCTAAGGCCGATTGGTCCCTGTCACATCGACAGTCTATCACATCAGTGCATCACCACGCCCAAAATTATCGCAGGCTCGTGCTCGGCCGGATGCCGAAAGGGTAAAAATGGCTGAGAAACCACAGAGGAACGGCAAAGAATCGTGCTAAAAAGGACTGGTTAATTATAAAGAAAACGTTATCTTTCTTTGGCTGGGAGGAGGTTCAATTAAGCGAAAACGGGGGGTTTCCGGCCAAAACGGGAGGGACCTCTTCCTCCTTGTTTTTCACATAGCGGCGAGTGCGAAACGCGAGTGACTAAGCGCAAAAACCATGGGAAGGAGAAAGTAGCTCAGGGATGTCCATCTCGCCTCCCTGCGCGCAAAGTTTCATCAAGAGGGACTTCTGGGTACTAGGCAGGTCTTACGCCGAGATTATTATTAGGGACTTTAGATTCAACGAATCGACGGCAACGAGAACTTCTAAAAGAACAATAGGTATAATAAGCAAAACAACAACTTTGCACGTGCATCACACTTTTTTGTACATTTCTTTGCCGCTCTTGCACGACTAAGACGTCAAAATGCCTCATTTCGTGTTAACAAGCAACGAAGAAATTTTATTCCGCTTTCAGAACTTGAATATGTTACCTTGGAGTGCAAATTTGGGAGGGCTCGCGTACATTTGACAAAGTAACTAGTAAGTAGGAATAATCGCGATAAAGACTGAGAGAACGCAAATTTACTTTTTCAGCGACGTTCCCTATAGGGAGCGACGGCGGCGGCCACGAGAACGGCAAGAAAGCAGAACAGGTTTAGATGAGCAAAAACAACTTTGCACGTGCATCACGCTTTTTTTGTACATTTCTTTGCCGTCGTTGCACGACTACAACGTGAAAGTGCCTAAATTCACGCTTTGTCGAGGACGGGAACACATGAAAACAACTTTCTTTTTGTTTTCTTGAACTTTGATACAGTCCTTTAGAACTGGCTTCCTGGTTATATGAAAGACAGTTTGCATTTGCTGCCGTTTAAAGTGGTCATTAATGTGTGGGGGTTGCCATTTGTCGATAGAAGTATACAAAAGTGGTACCTTTTATGTTGAAAATGATGGTATATAATTTAAAAGGGTAAGGGTTAGGACTTCGGGCCGGAGTCTCCCCGTTGAAAACTTTGTTGAGCCTCAACTCCGCCTGCCCCCCCTCCCCCTTCCCACCAAACTAACTGGGCATTTCCCGGAAGGAAAGAAGCTTTAGACCAGCGGACGAAACAGTTGTACGCAGTCATCATTTTTTGACAACAGGAATAAACGGGGTAGCCTGTATACAGATGTCCCCTCTTTTTCTGAGGGAGAGGGGACGTCTGTACTGTACTGTACTGTAATCGGGGTTATGGCTTCTGTTGTCTGTTCAGTCTGTTGAATTTATTTTTTAATAAAAGTTCCTTCGGATTGATTATAATTTTTTGGAGGTTATTTTTCTCTAACCAATTAGCCCGTGTACCCGCCTCCCCCACCTCTCTGGAAAAATTGGAGAGGGGGCTGCCCCTTCTCTGATTTTTCCTGAGGGGAGAGGGGTGTCTGTACACAGGCATTAATCTGCTTTAAATTCTTGAGATTTTCCCTGGAAATAAATAAACTTGGAGGGCTGTGCGGCGCCGTCATGCCCACCCAAATTGACAAGCTAGATAGATAGCTAGATAGATAGCTTTATTAAAAATCCATTGCAGCCCAAGGGCTGGATTACGGACTGTACAATACGTTGAATACTAAGACTAACTATTATAAATCAATAACAGTAAATAAATAAAACAAAGGAACAAAGATACTACGTCATGAAATTTAAGAAAATAGCCGCGAATTTACAATAAAACCATTAGAAAATAGCCGCGTTATGCATGATAAAACTATTCATTAGTCTATTTGTTCTACAAAGAGGTACGTTAAAAGCGCGCTTTCTCCTTAAGGCTACAGTACTAAGATTACGTGGCGGCAAAAGGCCATGTAATTTGTGGAGGCTGTTGTCCTTAATCTCATTGAATAGGCGCTCTGTCAGCCATTGGCGCCGTTGATGGAGGGTGGAAATATTGCACTCTTTGAGAGCCTCTTGATAGCCTAAATCTGGGAAAATAATTCTAAGTGCACGGCGCTGAATTTTCTCAGCTCTTCAGAGAGATACTCAGGCAGACCATTGTGGAAAACTTGGCAGGCATATTCAGACATGGGCCGGATACACGTAGTATAGAAACAAAGTAGCTGCGCAGGATCTCCTTTTGCACGCTTAAGCTGCCTTAATAGATATAGCCTAGAGGCTCCTTTTTTTGATAACATTCTCTATGTGAGCGTTCCACTTCAGATTGTTTGAAATTGTGAGACCAAGAAGTTTTGCGCTAGTTACAACCTCAATTGGTTTGTTGTTAATAGTAACTGCTTCGAAAGGATCTACAGACCTTGAGAGACTTATCTGCAACTCTTTACACTTGGTCTCATTCAATTGGAACTTATCTATTTCGGCTTGCCTAACTAGGTCGTCTACAGCAAATTGGATTCCACTTGGTTGGCCCTTGTGGACTGTCTCGGCCATCGATGTGTCATCGACGTACTTCAAAGGTTGACGCCATTGACATTGATGTCATTTATCATTACCAGGAAGAGCCAGGGCCCCAATTTGGTTCCCTGCGGGACACCTGCCTTGACAGATCCCCAATCCGAGTAGCAATCGTGGGCGAGTTTCACTCGTTGCTTCCTGTCAGTAAGAAAATCTGCAATCCAGTCCAGCACCCAAGGTGGTAGCTCATAGTCAGTAAGTTTAGCCATAAGAATGGCGTGGTCGATGAGATCGAATGCTTTCCTAAAGTCAAAGAGCACCACGCGCACTGTAGAACCGTTGCCGTCAGTATTCTTATACCAGTTGTGGAGCATGCTGATTAGGGCATGCACTGTGCTGGAGTTCGGAACAGGAAGCTTCACAGGAAACAACGAGAAGTTATTGAAACAATTATTTCGCGCATGCATTTCCTGCACTTTTCCTGTTACTTGGAGACGACTTCCTGATGAGCACGTGTTAGTCCAGAGGTCAAAACAATCGCAGCCCTTAAATCCCCCGATAATGACCCCGGGCAGGATATTTGGCGATTTGTTATTGTTTTGTATTGTACGTGTGGAGATGTGTAATCTGCATGTTTGGATGGGACGTGACAAGTACACTTCTTCTGTGCAATAACTATCGGAGACTTTAAACTGGTCTTCATTCTGAGAAGAACGACCTAAGACGAAAAAAATGAAAGCAATAGCGATCTCACAGGAGCACCCAACGAGGATATAGTTCAAAACCACTTAACATAGCATTGTTGAACGTATTTTAGTATTCAAACGGTAGATATAGGCATATTTTTATCCCCTAAAAACTTTTCATCTGTTCGGATTTCCTAGCTGAAAGTCTAGTGATCCGAAAATTATAGGGATAAAAACTTAGCTTCTCGAAAATTTCAGCCAGGAAAAGGCTCCCGAAAATTCTAGGCGGCCTTTTTTGGGGTCAAAATACGTTAAAAATGGGTAATTATACCATTTTGTAGATGTTCGAAAATCCTAGGAGAGGCAGGCAAGCAAGAAATTTTACAACAAATGCTCCGAAAATTCTAGATCTGAAATCGTCTTCCGAACAGATATTTTCCCGAAAATTGCCGTTGGGTGCCCCTGATCTCAGAAGACAGTGAAGAGATCGCGCTGAGTAACCGGGAGCGGGATGCAAGTGAACAGCCGACGGTTGTGACGTTAGATGAACAAACGCATCTCTTGGGAAGGTCAAGCTTTCAGAAGCGAAGATCTTCTTCTATGATGGGTGGAAGCTTTTCTAGAGGTGCGTTTTCTCAGAGCATACAAAAGCTCAAATCGGCTACCATGACCGTTTCTTTGCTGGAAAAGCCGTCGGACGATCGTCGCGCTTCGGCCTTCCTCGCCGGATGGAATGTGACAAATCTTATCCAAGGAACTGGGATTCTCGGAGTGCCGTATGCCGTGCGTATGGGGGGATGGGCAGCAGTTGCTGCTAATGCACTGGTAGCCTTCCTGTGCTGTTACACCGGTAAGCTGTTGGTTGAGTGTTTGTATGAAACATCCAAACGTACGGAGAAAAAGAAACGCGTGCGGGTCAACTACCCGGAGATCGGAGAAGCCGTATGGCCTGGATGGGGCAACCGAATTGTGAGCTTGGTACAGTTTTGTGAAATGTTTGGGGGAGTAGTGACGTACCTAGTTCTCTTGGGAACTATTTTTAATGACATTCTCCGCAAAGTCGCACCCCTGGATATTTACACTTGGTCAGCTATCAGTGCCTGCGTTGCTCTGCCTGGACTCTTTATTCGAAGGGTGTCAGTGATTGCATGGATCAGCATGATCTCAGTTTTTGCCCTGATGTCGTCAATTCTAACAATCATTACTTACTCCATAACACAATACAATGACATGAGCATAGACAAAATTCCACCATTTGACATCAATACTTTTCCCGTCGGTTTTGGTGTGATTGTGTTCAGTTACACAGCTCACGCTGTGTTCCCAGGTGTCGAGGGAAGCATGCGACATCCAGAACATTACCCCATGATGATGAATGCTGCATTCCTTTTGGCTGCTATCGTCAAAGTAGCCTTCGGTCTGTTGCCTGTCCTCAGATTTGGTGTCAATACAGAGCAAGCTATTACAGTTAACCTGAAAACCAGTCAAGTTTTCTACATCTTGGCCAACGTTCTGGTGGTGACCAACGTATTCACTGCCTTTCCTATTGTAAGCTACATCGTGCTGGAGACCTTTGATCAAAAAATCTTACCCTTCTTTCCACACCTACAGAAGGGCACAAATTATCATTGGTTCTGGATCCTAGTTTCTCGCCCCCTTGTTTTGTCATTTGGGCTTCTTCTGGCCATAGTTGTCCCCCACTTTGGGTTAGTCATGGGGCTGGTGGGCAGCTTTACTGGTACTTGTCTCTGCTTTATGTTCCCCTGTATTTTCCACATGGTCCTGAAGTGGAAAGAGCTCAAGTGGTATAACATTGTGGTGAGGGTTTCAGTTGTAATTTTTGGATTTATTTGTGGAGTTCTTGGTATTGTATTTACAGCTAAAGAGCTTGCTAGGGCTGTAAGGGGTATATAATTTGCAATCAATGGAGGTGCACCCTAACAGATAAATTAAGTGGAATAACTGTTTGAAAGACTTAGGGTTCTTACCATTAGTCATTACTGGCAGGTTAGACAGGTCTACTTGTAAAGACATTGTTCCGCCAGATCCGACAAACCGCAGGGGCGGATCCAGGATTTTTTTTTAGGAGGGGATGCACTCGTCTCTTGCTCTACTTCAACACCAATAAACCACATAGGTTTTTGTTTTTTTGCAGAATACCAGTTGTATTAGAAAACTGCAGGTCTGGGGGGGTGCACACCCCCTGCACCCTCCTCCTAGATCTGCCCCTGAAACCCTAAATAGCATTCTTGACAGTGCTGGTTTTTGGCAAAAATTCAAAGAGAAAAAGCCTACAGGCTGGCCAATTCTGACTATTGGTAAGCAACCTTAGATTGCCCTGATTGGAGAGGATCCTCTGCTAGCTGTTACGTTGATGATGTGTCAGTCGTTTTTTAAGAGTTAAGTACAACTTCTGTACTTTTGGTTTACCCCATTATCCCTTAATGACCCAAGAATGACCAACATCAATTTTCTCCTGATAAAATCAATACATAATCAAGAGAATAGGTTGTTAAGTTAAGAAAAAGATCACCAAAGGGAAAGTGTTTTGATCCTTTATCAGATTTTCTACACAAATTCTTTCAGGAAATTGGCTAATAAATAGTATACAGTAATCTCATGTCAAATTTCTCTGTCTTAAACAATTTCAAGGCAATTAGGAAGGAAATCTGGAAGCTTATGTTAAATCATATGTTGGAATTTTTTACAGAAACCCTTTTGAAATAGTTTGCTGAGAAAAGAAATTTACAACAGACCAGGAGTAGAGAGGGGGGGTGTAAGGGTTTGCGGTGATGCAGTTTTGCTCGATTTTTCATGCAGTTTTGTGGAAATGTTTATTTTAAGTTGTGGTATTGCGGTTTAACATATTAACCAAGAGGTTTGAGGTATTTAGAAATTTTCAGGTAATTTCAATGCAGTTTGTGGTTTTCTTTTGTTATTCTGTGTGGTGTTTATATGTATTTCTGTGCTGTTTTGCAGTATTTGTACTCCCCTTACGCCCCCCTCATGAGAATATCTGGAAATAGGTAAATTAGTTTTTAGCCTTTAATTTTGCTCCAGAGTGATCAAAAATATTTTTGTGAGTAGATCATCCATAAAGTGTACATAGTAACAGGTGAATATTATATATTATGATAAAAGAGTTTCTAATTCCAAGGAATAATTTAAGGTGTAAATTCTAAGTTTTATTCAAATAACCACCTGAGATCATGTGATCTCTTGTAAAAGAATCTTTTCAAGGTGTCAAGATGGGTATATGCTCAAGCTGTGTAAAAAGGAGGATGGAGAGTAAAAGGGATGTTATGGAATTCACTTCTTTTTTTCTAGTCTTTTTCAAGGATTAGGTGTCAGGGAATAGATGTTCAGGGCTTGATTTGGGTATGGTCCAGTCAAGGACAGTCAATAATCATGTAATTCTTAAGTTTTTACTTTATGAATTATTAATGAGTTTCTGAAGCTTTCGTAAGTGACCACCCTCTATTGGTTTACCATGCAGTCGCTTACAAGAGCTCATTCTCGTGAACGACCAGCTCTAGTTACGACCACTTTTTCGAATTTTTGTGTTAGTTGCCTACGAGAGCTTCGGCTGTAATATTAGTTTAGCTTGTCTGTAGGATAGTCAGGGTTCGAATTTTGCTTGCCCAGGGCAATCATATCCTTGTTTAAGGGCACTTTCCAAAAATCAGACCTGGCCGGTGGACAGACTGCCCATTATGATAATGAAATATCAGCCTTTTCTTGAAATGTTTTTCACAAAAGCAATCTCTGCTGTGCATATCATTTAACAATAGATTGCAATGATTGGTGAATTCTTTGAACTGTTCTGGTCTGTGTTCTGGCCTGCAAGTAAGTTTATGCTGTAGTCAGAAGATGACTTGCCGAAGCCTTTGCCTATCAGGCAAGCTGAGGATGAAAAGACCAGAAAGGATGTTTTTCAAGCCTGAATGTTGCTAATTAGTGTATTAGGGTTAAAAAACAGTTGTAAATATTTTTGCTAAACATCTTTATTTACTCAATAAATTTAAATAAATAAATATGAAAAACAAATACTGTTACACTTTTATTATTTTCTCCCTGTCATTGAGTGGAATGAGGCCTGGATCTGGGGGTCAAAGCCTTTAAAAATAATATTTTGTAAAAGATTTTGTGGCCAAGACAACGTAAATGTTGACTTTCTTGTGTTTAATATTGACATAGCAGGTGTTTATGCTTGACTGCTTTGCATTCTTTAGCTTGACTGTACATCTACTGTGAAACTCAAAAGTGTGAGTGCCAAAAATAATTCTGCTGGAATGTTGTTTTGTTGCACAGAAAGAGCCAATCTCATGAGAGCAAAAAAAAGCATAAAAATTACCCTTTATAACAATTCAATGTAGGTTAGGAAGCAATGCTAAAATTTCAGTGCAAGCCACGAAAGTGAATAGAGTGCTATTGTCAAGCATGCTAAAATGCCATGGGGGCTTCTCAACAACTCTTCCTCCTTTTCTCCCCCTTGAGGGTTTGTGCATCTGTTCGAAATATTTTAATCCAAGGCCCTTTAGATAGCTTAAGGACAGACTTTCCTATCCTTTCATTTACTTTAACTAGTGAAATCACTTCCCTTTTCATATACCTGAAGTCTGAGAAAAGTACCCCTTTTTTGGGTGGGGCTTCCCCTTATAGGTCATTGTCAGGATTATCCCCCTCTCCCCGCCCCCCTGGGATAAAATTTGACTTGATCAGAGGCTGCTGCAAGATAATCAGTAAAACCAAGATGATATCTCTAGGGACAAATTTCATTGCCCTTCATCCACCCCTCCCTTAAATTTTTTTGCTGAGGAAAAAAATGTAGGGGTATTCAGGTGATGCCATGAGCTCCTGGTGATCTGTTTTTGTCTATTTCCTGCACACCTGCATTGATTTGATGAGTATGTCCCATTCCTGTTTTTTAGCCACTATAGATGGAAGTTCCTGCCTTGTAGAACCAGTATCACTGTCTAGCTGGTCAAGGAATCTTAATGTTGTAGCTAGGCGCCATCTCGTCCGGTCCCCAAAGGATTTGGGAAACCGTTGTTCTTGCTTCTCCAATTTGTGAGATATCTTCGTCAATTAGTGTAGTTGAATAAATAAATAAATAAACATGTGAAATTATTTCATGTCCAATGATTCTGTAGTACTAGGAACTATAACCTGTTTGTGGTGGGCAAATAAAATATCAAATAACACAACCGCGTCCCCCACCGAGATCATGTTGAGATTGCAAGTCTACAACAGCTGATTCACGGTCTGCTGCACAGACCTCTGGGAATGGACGCAAAGATGGCTGCCGTCGCGTTGAAATATCGTTGGTGGAGTTGTCAAAGTCTCTTTGGATAAACCACAGCTTAGAGCTTTCCCTATCAGCCATGACAAGATTTGAGGATGCTTTCTGGGTACGTTAATCTCCTAAAACAAATTGAAAAACTTTGATTTGATTGTGAAATATAAATCAAGCAGACAGCTGTTCAACTATGACCTTATATTGAAAGCATTTTTTTAAACTATTGTGATAGTCCTATCTGTTGTTTATAAACAGGAACAAAAAGGCTACGAGGAACTGCGGAAATTGTGCCGGCAAGGCAATGAATTTTGTCGTGAAGTTTCGTCTATCTTTAATGAAAGGTAGCTATGTTAGGCATCCCAGTCATTAAACTGTAGATGTCATGGAAAATTATAAAACATTAAAAAGCTAAGAGGTTGCTCATAACTTCAGTAGGTTTAGGTTGTAAAATTCCATGTGGTAAATAAAACAAATCGAAATATTTAAATCGAATTTGTAATCACCTCAGTTTAACTTGTAACCAGATATTAAAACATGATTAATATGATATTTTGGTGACAGGTTGTGGATAAGTGGTATGTTTTCCTTGTGGTTTGGTTGGTTTTTGTCTATAATTACTCGTGTCTCTAAGCTTATTCAGGACTATCTGTAGATTTAAATTGTTCGTTGTTAGTCATCCGACTTTCAGATAAAACAAACGCCAAGCTAAGATAGCCCCAAAGAGAAATTTAAGATCAGATGTTTTAGGGCTTCCTTGATTAACACGCTGTAACTTCCTGTTGACTCCCCAGTTTGGTGAATTTAATGAAGTACATACCGCTCATTTGAAAGTCATAAATTGTTTTAATTTTTGGGGAAAGTTCATCTTTAAGTGAATTTAGGAAGCAAAGATTATTTGTAATAGAGTTAATTTTTTCAGTTAATTTCATGTTGTAGCTATTGTCATGCATCACTGATTTCTTCCTATGACTTAAATAAAATGACTGTTTCAATTATATTTTATTATTTCTCAGGGCAAAGATAGAACAAACATATGCTGAAAGCTTGAGCAAGCTTGCAGCAAAAGCTCAAAAAACTTCCAAAGATGCACTTGGGTAAGAAGCTCTTTTGGCTTCAAGGATTAAGCAAACTTACCGGCAGGATCAATACTGCCACAGGCTGTACAGCTACAATTGAATTTCATGTGGGACTCAAGTGTGGATCTAGGATAAATGCTGACGGTTTTCCTAACATTTATCATGAAAAATCTGACCGATTTCTGTAAAATGGTGGAAATTGGTATGGATCCACACTTAGGACCATCTATAAGTGCCCACTGACGATCCAAAACACCAAAATTTTCCAAGGCAAATTACTTAATTTTAATCCTCTTGTAAATGACAACCTCTCATGAGCAACCAGAGCCACTGTTTTTAACCAGTTTTGTAAACAACTACTTGATGCATAGTTTGATCTCCATGTTTGCTGTTTGTAGTACACTACTCAGAGTAAATGAGGAACTTTTACTGACAACCTGGAATTATGCACATCGCAAGTAACTTCCAAGAAGAGGTCTGGGAGCATTTTTGTTGTGGGAGAGTCTTAATTGGCCAAAGCAGAAAATACCACAAAAAAA